TTTCTTTCTTTCCCTCCACCTTAAAGCAGCGTCTCAGAGACTTCATTCTATCTAGCAAGGCCATTTGTCTTATCTAAAAGGTCCACACCTCACTTGATCCTTCTTCTGCTTTGATTAGCCCATTTTCTTTGCTATCATTGTTGTTCACATGCACTTGAACAAATGGGTACACTAACCACATAACTATGTGAAGAGCCACCTTGCTATTTAAATATCTGTTAAACTCCTGTTTCCAGCTGGTCCTGGGCCCTTGTTATCAAGGTCTTTGAATTGTGCTCTTTTTTTTTTTTTTTAAAGGGCATCCCAGGCAATCCTGGACCTTTTGGACTTCCAGGTTTACCTGGGTGCAATGGCTCTAAGGTAAGAGCTTCTCTCACAGACGGTGAGTCATAAATGTTTTTGCTGGATAAATAAATCGGGATGGAGTAGCAATGGAATGCAAGTATGTTTACTTTTGACACATACCTTTCAGCCAGAACCAGAGGTAAGAATTTTCAGGAGAGAGATGTGATTTTAAACCAGAAACCTTCATAACCCCCCACCCCTACTTCTTCCCAACCAGCTCCATTCTAGCATCCATGTTCTCCCACCTAAAGACAAGGGGGTGGGGGGTTGACGGGTTATTTTCACTGAATATTGTGAGTAGGCATCCAAGGGCTTCAAAAAATTCCGGGGGAAATTCCTTTTCTCATTTGATTCCATGTTTCCATGAACTACATGAAGCCCCTTGTGTAGATAATAAATCAGACACAAAGCCTACGAGGGAACTGACCTTTGGAAAAGAATGACCGAGCGTCTCAGTGTCCCCCTGAGCCTGTCAATGGTCCCTCTTCTCCTTTTGTTTCCTAGCTATGCATGGCTTTTCCCCACCATGAATGACCCGTCATTAAGAGTGTCAAGGAAAGGGCAATTAAAAAGTTCTTGGCACAATGAGTTATTGACCATTCATGTTCAAGTTGAGAAATGGTGGCTTCTCGTTCCGATTTCAATTATAATCATAGTTTTCCTGGCCTTCAGTCTCATGACCCAGTAGCCATAAAGTTTTGGATTTCCACTGCAAGGTTGGAAGAGGGGTACAGAAAACATCTGAATAGGCTCTTCTCAAGAGCTAAGAAGAGTGACAAGCTTTGTGTTTTTCAGGGTGAACAAGGGTTCCCAGGAATTCCGGGGACACCAGGCTACCCAGGGATCCTGGTAGGTTTCCATCCTAACTGCTCATTCGAGATACAACATGTGAACAACCCAACTTCAGAACGGTCATGTACACAAAGTCATCATGACCTTGGGGAGTTCGGGGCAGCCAATAGTCCTCATCCAACTGGTTGTTGTCAAATGGATGAATAAATGCCTCATGTGGGTAGGGTAGGACTTAGAGGCCTTGGTCTGCTCTTGAGATTTCCAAGTGGAGATGTGCTCTAGTTGATTGGATTTGCTCAAGGAGCCAGCCTGGATCGGTGGTGACTCAAAGAGTGAGAGTGGGAATCAAGGTGCTTAGAGCTTGAACTGGAAAACGCCAGCACAAAGCACCCACATCAAGTAGAATGAGCCCTAGGAAGAGGAGTGGGCCAATTAGTAGAAGGAAAACCAGTAGGATTATGCTGTGCAAACCCGGGAAAAAATATGGTTCATGTAGAAGG